CAAAATGTAATTTCCAAAGAATGTGGATGGAGCACGGCGCCCTTCCTCCCCTCCCCAAATCACAAGCTGTGCCCGCCGACAGCGTCTTTAGCGACCGATGATGTAATTGGTTGCTAGGAATCAGGCAGGTGGCTTGTGGGGTGCCCGCCCGCTCACTCCCTAGCAACCAATGACATTGTTGAATGCCGTCGGGCGGCCTGCACAGCATACTTTGTTGCCTCTCCCCTGGCCCCCGACAGCTTCATATCAACCAATGACAACAAACCCGCCGACAGATTCATAGCAACCAATGACGACAAACCTGCCCGACGCCTTCTTAGCAACCAATGACGACAAAGGCACCGACAGCTTCATAGCAACCAATGACAAAAAAGCCGCCCGACGGCTTCATAGCAACCAATGGCGACAAAGCCACCCCACCGCTTCATAGCAACCAATGACGACAAAGGCGCCGACAGCTTCATAGCAACCAATGACGACAAAGGCGCCGACAGCTTCATAGTAACCAATGATGACAAAGCCGCCGACAGCTTCATAGTAACCAATGATGACAAAGCCGCCGACAGCTTTATAGAAACCAATGATGACAAAGCCGCGGACAGCTTCATAGCAACCAATGAGGACAAAGCCGCGGACAGCTTCATAGCAACCAATGACGACAAAGCCCCCAGACCGCCTCATAGCAACCAATGACGACAAAGCCCCCAGACCGCCTCATAGCAACCAATGACGACAAAGCCCCCAGACCACCTCATAGCAACTAATGACGACAAAGCCACCCCACAGCTTTATAGCAACCAATGACGACATTGATGCTAAAGAAGCCGTCAGCGGCCACAGCTTAAGATTTTGATACTGCAAGTGTGCTCGATCCACATTCTTTGTAACTGACACTGGGCATTGAGACTATGGGGCCCCACAGTGTGTATTTTCCTTCCTTTGACATTTAGGTTCCATTCACACAAATGCGGCGTGTTTAGGGCATGTTTATGTTCATTTGGATCTATGCTGCCTATAAGACATGCACTATGATTGGTCTTTCTAAGCCCATGGTTCCACCTCACTTTGCTCCGATGTTTTACCATATTGCATGAAATGTTTTATTAAAGCTCCAATTTCAGGATCACACATGGAATCTATGCCATAGTTTCCCAATCAAACATTGATTGGGAAATCAAAGAAGCCGAGTAGAAAATTCAATCAGATGCAGTGACTGTTCGGGTGTTCGGACAGGCGCAGGTACGTTAGTGGTCAGTGCCTAGTAGTGATAGGCAGAACACCCCCGTGTTCAAACTTTAGAACATGAAAAAAGTTTGAATTCGAACTCAATAAAAGTCTATGGGACCCGAACTCGGAAAATCAAATGTCCCCATTTTGAAGGCTTATATGCAAGTTATTGGCCATAAATAGGTGTATGGGGATCTGGGAACTGCCCTGGGGGACATGTATTAGGATCCGGGTACTGCCCTGGGGGACAAGTATGGGTATCAGGGTACTGCCCTGGGGGACATGTATGGGGATCCGGGTACTGCCCTGGGGAACATGTATGGGGATCCGGGTACTCCCCTGGGGGACATGTATGGGGTCTGGGTACTGCTCTGTGGGACATGTATGGGGTACCGGGTACTGCCCTGGGGGACATGTATAGGGATCCGGGTACTGCCCTGGGGAACATGTATAGGGATCCGGGTACTGCCCTGGGGAACATGTATGGGGATCCGGGTACTGCCCTGGGGGACACCCTAGGGGACATGTATGGGGATCCGGGTACTGCCCTGGGGGACATGTATGGGGGTCCAGGTACTGCCCTGGGGGACAGGAATCAATGGGGAAAAAAAACACTTTAAAAAAATACAGTTTATAAAGGAGCCGTGACTTCATCATCACTTAAAGGGTAACAATAAAAAATTCCTTTAAATATTGTGTCTGGTGGGTCCCCTTGGGCCTCAGTCATGAAGGGGTTAAGGTCTGATAGGAATTTTAAGGAGGAACCCCACCCCAAAAAAATGGGGGGGGGGCGTGGGGTCCCCCATAAAATTCCATACCAGACCCTTGATCCGAGTGTGTGGACGGGGGATGGGGTCATGTGGACAGGGAACGGGGTCATTTGGTGTGCGGAAAGGGGACGGGGTCATGTGTGTGTGCGGAAAGGGGACGGGGTCATGTGTGTGTGGACGGAAAGGGCACAGGGTCATGTGTGTGTGGACGGACAGGGAACAGGGTCATGTGGTGTATGGACAAGGGACGGGGTCGTACCGTGTGTGGACAAGGGACGGGGTCATGTGGTGTGCGGACAGGGGATAGGGGTCACACAGCACACCCCGCCCCGTCACCGTGACAACCGCTCTCCCAGCCGCATGAACGCCTGTGAGCGTGCACATCTAACAAACAGCTGAGCGCGTCCGCCCGTATCCCGGCAACCAGACATCAACTTCCGCTCAGCTTGAGGACATCGAACCTGCTGCAGGTACCGGGGATGGGTATGACAAGTCGGGGTTCCGGAGGTCGGTGTGTGTGAGGTGGTGTACACGGGCGGCTGGCGTATGTGTTTGTAGAGGAAAATCAGGAGAGAAACAAAGCTGACATTGCTGAAAATACTGGTTGCTGCTCGTCATGGTGAGCCTCTGGCTTCAGTACTCCGTGTTCGGACTTTTGAATTTATTCTGACTCTGTGAACTGCATTAATGCTGGGGGTTAGTGATGACTAAAGCACCGAATCCAGAGGATGAGCATGACAACTCGGCTTGTTAGAAGTTCGAGAATAGCAGCTACTGTATTCCTGTCATGGGAGGCTCCTACTGCAAATGCTCTCTGCCTGGAGCTTACACTGGGCCGTGCCCCCCATGTGACCACGCTCAAGGCAGGTGATTGGCTGTCCAGGCCCCCAGCACTGCATTGTGGGGGGAAGGGCAGAGGGTCACATTGTGTGTGTGTGTGTGATAGGTGCTCTTTCTGTGGGCCAGGTGCCCTGCGCCCTCTCTGGATCTCTTATCACCCAAACTGTAAATCTGAAAAGGGGCCCCTGAGTGAGACTCCTCCCCTTCATCCCAGGAGCCCCAAATGTGGCTGCATGCACCTCCTATAGACTACTGATATGTCCCCAATGCATTGTGGGATGTGGTAGGCTCTGGCTAAGACTTGAATCCCGAGTCCATCCAGGTCCGGGGGTTCTCCGGTGCCCAGGACAAGATTTAAAGGCACATGCAGCACCTTGTGGCCTCTGATGTTGTTCGTCCCCTATCCTGCTGTCCGGTGAGGTTGGGGCCCCTCTTTCGGAATGACGTTTCTTTCTCCATTTTGTTTCAGGTGCAGTGACCTCAGTGAGCCCGTTCCAGGTGGTGTCAGCATGCCGACCAGAGCCAAGCAGGTAATGCCGGGCTGAGCTCCTTGTTGCTGGATGTCTGCCCTCTGTACACCTCTGATATTCCTAGCAGCCTGCACCGTGCAGAGCATCGCGTCCTTCTATGGCTTGTTGCAGAGCATCTCTCCCGGCCTTCTCTTGACGTTTGTTGTGTCTTTTGCAGAGCGTCGCGCCGGTCCAGACTCAGAAGCCGAATGTCACCAAACAGATGAAGACGATTTCTAGGCGGAGGGTGAGGAGAGCGGAGCTCCAGATATCCTGAGATATATATATATATTTATATATACTGTGTATAGGGCGGAGCCGGGATCTCAGAGCACCAACCCACAGGCAGGGCCCTGCTGCCCCATCAGGTCAGCAGTGGGGCCCAGGGACAGAGAGGGGGCGCTGACCTTTTGCAGCAGCCACCTGTCTGGGATTCACCCGAATAGTCCAGACACAAGATGTCACCATGTCAGGTGGTCTGAGACAACCACGGGGTCCAACCTGAGTGCATGGAGGAGGCACAGAACATGGAGGGACACTGGAACCCAGGGAGCAAGGAGGTGTCTGAGACACGGGGTGCAGATGAGTCTTGAAGGGCTCAGGGGTTCTGCTTCAGGCAGATGTGTTACTCACTATCTCTCCTCATGTGGCCCCCATGAAAGGAAGAAAGCACGCCCAGTGGCCCCCCAATTTATTTGATTTTGAGACCCCTGGTGCAAAGGTTATAGTGCAGCACAGTGCTTCTAGGAGGTCATAGTGCCCTGTGTAGTATAGATGTACAGCACAGTGTATACAGCCCACCCATGTTTCCATAGCTCTGACATACTCCATGGCGCTGTGCTGTGATGTCATATACAGACCCGGTGCGGTCATTGTGCTCCCATGTCTTCTATTGATGATAACCTTCCTGTTTCAGGATGAAGATGACTCCACAGATATGGGGGATGGGGCCGATGAATGGATGCAGCCCAAGACTTTGGTTAAACCTCTGGACCAGCTGGAGCTCTCCGAGGCCGTGAGTATTGCTGGGGACCCCGGACGGGGATGACACCTTCCTGTGTATGACTGTGGGGACCCGGGACTTCCTATGACTGTGGGGACCCGGGACTTCCTATGACTGTGGGGACCCGGGACTTCCTATGACTGTGGGGACCCGGGACTTCCTATGACTGTGGGGACCCGGGACTTCCTATGACTGTGGGGACCCGGAGGTCAGATAGAAGACTGAAGTGGAGGACGGAGGTCAGATAGAAGACTGAAGTGGAGGACGGAGGTCAGATAGAAGACTGAAGGGAAGGACGGAGGTCAGATAGAAGACTGAAGGGAAGGACGGAGGTCAGATAGAAGACTGGAGGGGAGGACGGAGGTCAGATAGAAGACTGGAGGGGAGGACGGAGGTCAGATAGAAGACTGGAGGGGAGGCCGCAGTTTATCTTATTCTTCGTCACTCACCCAGCATGTCCTACTATCCTTGAGACCCTACGGAGCCCTGGTGCTGGTGAGACCCTACAGAGTCCGGGTTTAACCAGGGCAGTGTGGGATCTCACCAGGGCTCTGAGGGGTCTAACCAGGCTGGTGAGACCCCCACATAGCTCTGGTGAGACCCTACAGAGCCCTGGTTAAAGCAGGGCTTGGTAGGGTCTCACCAGGGCTCTGTGGGGTTTAACCAAGACTAGTGAGACCCCACTGAACCCTACTTTAACCAGGGCTACGTCAGTGCTACAGTTTGAATTTAAAACGTATTTGTGTGAAGTGTGAAGTTAAGTCATGGATTGAACAGAAATATGAGCAATTATAAAATAATTTCTTTGTGTTTATTTGATTCCTATTCAAGAGAATTACTTTATATATAGTCAATATAGGCACAGAGGTAAAAAATTTTAACATTTTCTAATGGTGGTGTGCCTCGTGATTTTTTTCATGAAAAAAGTGTGCCTTTGCACAAAAAAGGTTGAAAAACACTGCTCTAGATGAGAGGCTGTCCATGTTATTGCTCATTATAGACAGTGACAACCCATTACACCTGCGGCATTTGGGCTGCATGGAGTATGCAGGGATGGAATTCAGGAACAGCCCACAATGGAGGCGACTCGGCGACCTCGTGAATGGCAGACGCATTGTTTTGTAGAATGTGGGTGGAGCCAAGGGGGGAACGCAACGTCTGAATTTGCATGCGTTTCCAGGGTGCGGGGCAGCATATATAGAGTGCTACCTCCTCCCCTCTGTATTTAGAAGTGACAGGTTCCCTTTAATGTTTTTGCAATATTCCTGCAGAGCTGTCCTGGGCTCCCTTATAGAGGGGGGCGGGTACCAGAGGCAAGAGTAAAAATAAATAAATCTATAACCTTAATGTGAGGGGGCTGGTTGGAGGAGCTGGCAGGGTGCTTTGCACAGCTTCCTAAGAGCCCCCAGCCCTGATGCAAGCAGTGGGAGGAGTTATGCAAATAGTGCCTGGATGGGCGGGTCTCAGTCTGGAGGAGTGGGTGGTCCCAGGCAGGTTGTATTTGCACGCACATGTGACACTGAGCTTCTATGATTGAAAGAGAGAAATTCAGTAAATGAAAGGGGCGGGGCCAGGGACAGTCAGGCTGGGGAGGAAAGGGCTAGATGATGGTGGGCATCTTCCAGCCAGGAAATGAGGCGGGCTCTATCTGACTTGCCGCAGCAAGCCTCTACTAATTCAGTGCTGCTTCTGATGAGAGTGGCTGTCCCAGCATCGTCATCACTAATTTATTCAATTTCCTTTGAAGGAACTTAAAGAGGAATTCACTCGAATCCTGACCGCAAACAACCCTCACGCCCCCCAGAACATTGTGCGGTACAACTTCAAGGTAAGATCCAGCGAACCCGAGTCACCAGATCCCATCAAAGAGCTCCAATGTACTTCTTACCCATGTACTATTAAAGGGGCACTCCGCCTTTACTGGATCCTGCTGGTTGAGCAGGTCCAGTGGCAGCACATAAAGAGCCTCATAGAAGAACATTTCCGTCCCCTGTAAAGGAACACAAACAGCAGTATTTTATTATAAGTCCAGCGGCAGTCACAGTTTTCTCTGAGTCCCCCTGTGATGGGGTGACAACAATGCTGCACTGCTCCTGAATTCGGAGCAGAGTTGTCACTCTCCTGTAGACTGTACTACATAGGGGTGAGAAAATGTGACGAGGGGCGTAGCTCTAAGCATTGTCACTGCTGATTTGTAAAGGGCTGGCAATAGCGGTGATCTTAACAGTCTTAGGCAGCGGTGGGCAACTCCGGCCCTCCAGCTGGAACTACAAGTCCCATGAGGCATTGCAGGACTGACAGCTACAGGCATGACTCCCAGAGGCATGTTGAGATTTGTAGTTAAAGCACAGCTGGAGGGCTGGAGTTGCCCACCCCCTAGTCTTATGTAATATGTCTTTATCCTCTTACCATCTCCTGTATCATGCCTGCAGTCTCTGACCATCTCCTGTATCATGCCTGCAGTCCCTGACCACCTCCTGTATCATGTCTGCAGTCCCTGACCACCTCCTGTATCATGTCTGCAGTCCCTGACCACCTCCTGTATCATGTCTGCAGTCCCTGACCACCTCCTGTATCATGTCTGCAGTCCCTGACCACCTCCTGTATCATGTCTGCAGTCCCTGACCACCTCCTGTATCATGTCTGCAGTCCCTGACCACCTCCTGTATCATGTCTGCAGTCCCTGACCACCTCCTGTATCATGTCTGCAGTCCCTGACCACCTCCTGTATCATGTCTGCAGTCCCTGACCATCTCCTGTATCATGTCTGCAGTCCCTGACCACCTCCTGTATCATGTCTGCAGTCTCTGACCATCTCCTGTATCATGTCTGCAGTCTCTGACCATCTCCTGTACCATGTCTGCAGTCTCTGACCATCTCCTGTATCATGCCTGCAGTCCCTGACCACCTCCTGTATCATGTCTGCAGTCCCTGACCACCTCCTGTATCATGCCTGCAGTCTCTGACCATCTCCTGTATCATGCCTGCAGTCTCTGACCATCTCCTGTATCATGCCTACAGTCCCTGACCACCTCCTGTATCATGTCTGCAGTCTCTGACCATCTCCTGTATCATGTCTGCAGTCTCTGACCATCTCCTGTATCATGTCTGCAGTCCCTGACCACCTCCTGTATCATGTCTGCAGTCCCTGACCATCTCCTGTATCATGTCTGCAGTCTCTGACCATCTCCTGTATCATGTCTGCAGTCTCTGACCACCTCCTGTATCATGTCTGCAGTCTCTGACCATCTCCTGTACCATGTCTGCAGTCTCTGACAGTTTTCTGAAGCATTACATCCACTGAATATTACGTGTGGCCCCTTGGTAATGTAAGGGGCCATTTTTGGGGCCCCCTATATGAAGAAAGTTGACCTCCAGTACCCTGATTGACATATGTGGAGTGTTTACCTGGAGCGTCTCTGTGAATAGATAAAACTGAGACAGATGGAGTTCTGTGTCCCTTCACGTCTGTCCTCTGCTCCATGGTATGTTCTCTGTGTCCCTTCACGTGTGTCCTCTGCCCCATGGTATGCTCTCTGTGTCCCTTCACGTGTGTCCTCTGCTCCATGATATGTTCTCTGTGTCCCTTCACGTGTGTCTTCTGATCCATGGTATGCTCTCTGTGTCCCTTCATGTGTGTCCCCTGCCCATGGTATGTTCTCTGTGTCCCTTCACGTCTGTCCTCTGCTGCTCCATGGTATGCTCTCTGTGTCCCTTCACGTGTGTCTTCTGCTCCATGGTATGCTCTCTGTGTCCCTTCACGTGTGTCTTCTGCTCCATGGTATGTTCTCCGTGTCCCTTCACGTGTGTCCTCTGCTCCATGATATGTTCTCTGTGTCCTTTCATGTGTGTCCTCTGCCCCATGGTATGCTCTCTGTGTCCCTTCACGTGTGTCCTCTGCCCCCATGGTATGCTCTCTGTGTCCCTTCACGTGTGTCCTCTGCCCCATGGTATGTTCTCTGTGTCCCTTCATGTGTGTCCTCTGCCCCATGGTATGTTCTCTGTGTCCCTTCACGTCTGTCCTCTGCCCCATTGTATGTTCTCTGTGTCCCTTCCCGTGTGGCCTCTGCCCCCATGGTATGCTCTCTGTGTCCCTTCACGTGTGTCCTCTGCTCCATGGTATGCTCTCTGTGTCCCTTCACGTGTGTCCTCTGCCCCATGGTATGCTCTCTGTGTACAGGAACGGGCGTACAGACCCATCAACATTGTGGACCAGCTGGCGGTACACTTCTCCCTGGATGGGAACATGTTACACAAGGACTCGGACGAGGCGCGACGGCAGAAGGCGAAGTTCGGAGTCATTGAAGGTGAGAAGCCGCTGATGATTGTGATGTAATCCAATGCTAGGCTAGGATGTGGGGACAAGGCCGGGCCACTCGGGGGTGTCATGGAACCATGGAAAGAGTTAACCAACCGGAAATCTGCCGCATTCGGTGTCATAAAACAGATTATTTTTGCTTCCTGTAAAATCCACTTCTTGGGGTTCATTACGGGACACAGGATACAGATATTTAGAGACAATTGGGTTATACTGCCCCCTACAGGAGGACACTGGCAAGAAAAAAAAGCTGTTGTCCAGCCAACTATAACCACTCCCACTCCCATCATGCTTCAGTTTTATGTGAGTGTCTGGGGGGAGGGGGGGTTCCGGACGTCTCGAACATGCTGCTGAGCCCGGCTCTTTATGCAGCTGTCTGGATTGGTTGTAGCTTTGGAGGCCATTGCAGCACCCGAGGATTGCAGGCCTGCCTGGATTGTGATATTTAGGCGCTGGGCTCTGGCACATGTCAGACCTTTATATACTGAGAGGAGGAAGGCAGTAAACTTTACAAACGATGAATGGATGGACGGAGGGATGGATGGACGGAGGGACGGATGGACGGACGGAAGGACGGATGGACGGACGGAGGGACGGATGGACGGACGGAGGGATGGATGGATGGACGGACGGAGGGATGGATGGACGGACGGAGGGATGGATGGATGGACGGACGGAGGAATGGATGGACGGACGGAGGAATGGATGGATGGACGGACGGAGGAATGGATGGACGGACAGAGGGATGGATGGACGGAGGAAGGATGGATGATGCATGGATGGATGGATGGATGGACGGATGTATGTATGGACGGATGGATGAACGGACGGACAGATGGACGGACGGACGGACGGATGGACGGACGGATGGATGGATGGACGGAGGAAGGATGGATGAACGGACGGACGGATGGATGAACGGACGGACGGATGGATGAACGGACGGACAGATGGATGAACGGACGGACGGACGGATGGATGGACGGAGGAATGGACGGATGGATGGATTGATGGACGGACGGACGGACGGATGGACGGACGGATGGATGGATGGACGGAGGAAGGATGGATGGACGGACGGACGGATGGATGAACGGACGGACGGATGGATGAACGGACGGACGGATGGATGAACGGACGGACAGATGGATGAACGGACGGACGGACGGATGGATGGACGGAGGAATGGACGGATGGATGGATGATGCATAGACGGACGGACTCGTGGATGGATAGAGAGATGGATGAATGGACGGACAGATGGAAGGATGGACGGAGGATTGGATGGACGGATGCCTAATGCATGTGTTAGTGTTACATTAAATGGTATAAAGAGATGAAGCTGCTGCTTTAGGTCCTCCTCTGTGAGCAGCACGCTGTGTGAACGCACAGACCGCACGTAGCAGAGACGGCCGCCTTGTGCTCTCTCCTCTGTAGTAACTCTCTTCCTTTCTCATCTTTATGTCCCGCAGAGACTCAGCCCAGTGAGAGCGCAGAGCCCGGAGACACAGACGGGAAGTCAGAAGCTCAGGTACTGTAGATACATCCACACAGGTGATGGGGCCTTCCTGGTGCCTGAATGTGCAGTGGACCCGGTGCGGATAATTTCCCCCGAATTTGGAGTGGGCTCAGTGCTGATCTTTCCCTTGATTTTGGGGGCCCCATGCTGTATGATCCCCTAAATGTGGAGTGGACCTGGTGCTGATCCTTCCCCTGAATGTGGAGTGGACCTGGTGCTGATCCTTTACATGAATGAGGGTGGACCCAGTGCTGATCCTTCCCCTGAAGGTGAAGTGGACCTGGTGCTGATCCTTCCCCTGAAGGCGGAGTGGACCTGGTACTGATCCTTCCCCTGAAGGTGGAGTGGACCTGGTGCTGATCCTTATCCTGAAGACGGACATGGACCTGGTACTGATCCTTCCCCTGAAGGCGGAGTGGACCTTGTACTGATCCTTCCCCTGAAGGTGGAGTGGACCTGGTACTGATCCTTCCCCTGAAGGTGGAGTGGACCTGGTGCTGATCCTTATCCTGAAGACGGACATGGACCTGGTACTGATCCTTCCCCTGAAAGCAGAGTGGACCTTGTACTGATCCTTCCCCTGAAGGCGGAGTGGACCTGGTGCTGATCCTTCCCCTGAAGGCGGAGTGGACCTGGTGCTGATCCTTCCCCTGAAGGCGGAGTGGACCTGGTGCTGATCCTTCCCCTGAAGG